CTTAATATTTTTAATCTAGATCTAATATATTCTAATTCATGAACTTATACTCTTAGAACTAGATTAAAGCAATGTAGATCTTAGTAGGTAGATTCTAGAATCTAGATCTAGAATCTAGGTCTAGATCTAGAATTTAGATCTAGATTTCCTAGGTCTGGGAATCTTAAGTCTCGTAGCAAAGACTGAGTAGAGTCAGAGTAATGTCCCCTAGCCTTGGACAAACTATCAACAAAAGAAATAAAATCAATATACTTACCGCCACAAAACTTTTATATTCAAAAATGCATACACATGTGTTTGTTCCCATCCATATGAACAAAACAGCGTTGAAAGTTTTTACAATTGTTGCATTTCTGGAACGTTTGATGATTTTGAAATCTTGAAGCGGGACCTACTAACAAATAGCCGCCATGTTTTTTGATATCAATGGGAAACCCCGTTCACAACAATTGATTTAGTTCGAAAACTTTTATCTCTCCCTGGCTAACCAGACACGAATTAACGCGAGAAAGAACGATAAACTTACAAGTTCTATACCGAACCGATTTCTTTCAAACTTGACATCTAGGTCGAGATCCGATAACAATCTAATTTGACATGATAAGATTTTTTTTTATAAAATAAAATGAAATGAGATTTTTTTTCAAATAAATTAGTGATAAGTATATAAAACACTAATAGTGTCACGCTTATAAACACATATTCAGAGCTTTCAAGTATTATATTCATACCATTTTCTCAAAGCTTGTCTTTAAAAACGTTTTATATTTTTTATAGTAATTTCTTTACATTGTAGTCAATATGGAAATGGTCTATTCTCAACCTTAATTTTAAGAGCGACTAGCGTTAAGCTTTACGTCCGTGTAATAATAGAAGCTGATTCCTGCATGTGTTAAGAACTACTAAATGGTGAAAGGGCCGCTGTTTGAATTACCGAGTTACTTCAAAGAGATTGAATGTTTCTTTAAGAAAATAGTAGACAAACATTCGAATAATTTGTTAAACTGGTGATTACAAAGGTAAAGAAAGTGTACAAAAAGACTTATTTTTAACCTATACTTTGTATTCCCTATGGTATGCTAAAAGTGCTTAATTGTTTTAGGATCGGAAGATATTTACTATCCGCTAATATTTTTAAATTAAAAATATTGTATTAAACTAACTCTCCAGTTTCAAATTCTAATATCCTAAATATATTTGCTAAGGGTGAAAATTCATATAGCTGGAATGTTTACAATTTAAGTTATTTTTTTTATGTTTCTGTTGCAAAGCTTGAGAGTTCCAGCTATAAAAATGAATTTTGGCATGCAAAGCTTAGTTTTGGAGAAATAAACACGTTAGGAATTAGATGAATTAACGACTGGTTGATGCAGGGGAATTTACTGTTAGCTTATTGTTACAGGGGAGTTAACTCCTAGCTGGTTGTTACAGGGGAGTTAACTGCTAGCTGGTTATTTCAGGGGAGTTAACTACTAGCTGGTTGTTACAAGGAATTTACTGTTAGCTGGTGGTACAGGGAGTTAACTGTTAGCTGGTTGTTCCAGGGGAGTTAACTGTTAGCTGGTTGTTACAGGGGAGTTAACTGCTAGCTGGTTGTTACAAGGAATTTACTGTTAGCTGGTGGTACAGGGGAGTTAACTGTTAGCTGGTTGTTACAGGGGAGTTAGCTGTTAGCTGGTTGTTACAGGGGAGTTAGCTGTTAGCTGGTTGTTACAGGGGAGTTAACTGCTAGCTGGTTGTTACAGGGGAGTTAACTGCTAGCTGGTTATTAACAGGGGAGTAAACTGCTAGCTGGTTATTACAGGGGAGTTAACTGTTAGCTGGTTGTTACAGGAGAGTTAACTGCTAGCTGGTTGTTACAGGGAATTTACTGTTAGTTTATTGTTACAGGGGAGTTAACTGCTAGCTGGTTGTTACAGGGGAGTTAACTGCTAGCTGGTTGTTACAGGGAAGTTAACTACAAGTGTACAAGATGGTCGTTCAATCAATCAATTAAACATCAATTGGGGCACCATGGGTTTTTTGTTTGTTTGTTGTTTGTTTTTGTTTTTCAAAAAATTTCCGCCATCTGCCTCGGTCGTCCTCTGCTCAGAGTAGATGCAATATGTCTCACAATGAATCGTTATCAATATTTATTTTTTAAATATCTGATATCGTTATGACTTTCTTTCAAAATCGTGATGATTATTATTTTTAATCAGGCAGGACTTTCTTGAACTATTATTTGAACAACTCACCAGACAGTAATTTCCGTAATGCATTCATTGACCAACTCTATTGTAAATGGAACAATACCATCTGCCCATTTACATCAGCCAGACATGAACATGGATGACGTATACATCATTCCACAATTACTGCTCAATTTTCGAGCTTGTGGAACCATAAGGAAAAGGTCTTTATGCCGGAATTAGCACGGCAACTCAACAAAAACCCCATTTCGTTTCTATCGATCTTTGTCATCTGCGACAGTGTCTGCACGGTTTTCTTCTCTTACGTCGTCTTCATTTTTTTTAGAATTGGGGGAGGGGGCTAGTTGACCATATTTCAAGTCAGAATTGGGGGGGGGGGGTAGTTGACCATATTTCCAGTCAGAATTGGGTGAGGGGCTAGTTGACCATATTCCCAGTCAGGATTGGGAGGGGGGGGCTAGTTGACCATATTTCCAGTCAGAATTGGGGGGGGGGGCTAGTTGACCATATTTCCAGTCAGGATTGGGGGGGGGGGGCTAGTTGACCATATTAATATTTCCAGTCAGAATTGGGGGGGGGGGGGCTAGTTGACCATATTTCCAGTCAGAATTGGGGGGGGGGGCTAGTTGACCATATTTCCAGTCAGGATTGGGGGGGGGGGGGGCTAGTTGACCATATTTCCAGTCAGAATTGAGGGGGGGAGCTGACCGTATTTCTTGTCAGAATTGGGGGAGGGGGCTAGTTGACCATATTTTCCAGAAGAATCGGGGAAGGGGGGAGTTCACCATATTTCCAGAACTGGCTTATGCTGACCGCAAGTAATTTGATTTTGATTTTTTTTCCTGTGTTTTTATACCGCTACTAAATGCTACAATGTTGCGTGATACGGGTGTTTTTTGATCATGTAACGAAATTAAAAGTGGACATGAGAGTGATCGAGTTTCAGCCACAGAAAAACAACTGAATGTGTTGTTGTTGTTTTTTTTAATCCAAAGCCACAATGGCCATAGCGGATAAAATCTAAAAGATTTTTTGTAGCTTAAAGGATTTTTTTTAAACATTGCTCTATTTCAATTCTAACAAGCTGAACAGTACAGCATGAATTGTGTGGGTCTCATTTAATTTTCAGGGATCCTTGAAGCAGCTCGCCACGCCATAAATTGAACGTCCCCATCTTAAACTTGTCTCTCAAAGTCTAACAGCTTTAAGCAATACTAATTTTCTTCTGGTGTCAGTTCAGCGATATGAAATTGACAGCCTCTCTTGTCCAATCTTATAATTATATTACCCCATAAGACCTAGGTGGGGCAGCGTGGTCGAGCTGTACAGTACATGAATGTCTCGAGTTCGTTTCCTGAACATAGTGAAACCCTGATTAATATAGAGTCTGCGCATAAGGTTAATTACACTATCCCTTTATATGATGAGTTTTCAAACAAAGACCGTCTTGAATGGTTAACTTGCTTTTAAATAATCTCTTTGTAGGTAACCCAGTGTTGTTTCATTATTAGAAAACCACACTCGTGTTGTTCGCGTTCCGTTTAATTTGACTGTGATATAATGACTAAGATCCTAATATATAAAACCCCACGTTCGCACCTCTCTCTCTCTCTCTCTCTCTCTCTCTCTCTGTCTGTCCGCAAAATATTTTCGCCGGACATCACGTCAGAATCGGCAGCGATATATGGATACCTTTAAACGGACTTTTGTTGAAAATAATATGTTAGATGTTTTAAATGAATAACCACAATTTTATTTAAAGAAGAAAAATAAAAATTAAAGGCGTATTCGAATGTAGAGAAACAGTATTTTTTATGCAACCGGGAAAGCATTAATACATGTGAAAAAGAACGCATAAAACTGTGACGTCACTAATGTTTAAACATTAACTAATGACGTCATCTGCCGTGTTTACAATAAAAAGAAATGAACTATTTCATTCAAATTTGATTTAGATCTACGTACACTATGAAATGTATACAATACAATTTTTCCGGCCTAAACTCATAAAATTTATTTTATTTATTTGGATTCTAGATCTAGAGATTCTAGATCTAGACTAAATCTAAATCTACGCAATAACTAGATCTAGAATCTAGACGTAGACGCTAAAATCTAGATTTAGACTCTAACTTCTCTAAAATCTATTCCAAAAATAAATTTCTATATTAGGACTAAACTATTTCAAGACTTATTTATTTTATACAAAATCTTTGTTTGGAACTGGCTAATTTGGGATAAAAAAATTAATTTGAAAGAATAGGCATATTCGCGTAAGTTAATATTTTAAAATACGTGTTTCATTCTCCGTATTTTATAAAGTGCCTACATAGCGGAGATGTTATTGTACTTTAAACCACGCAGGTGGTTTGAGTTCGAGACACACCAAGTCAACTTGGTTAATGTATTTTTTTTTATTATGCTCGGGCTAAACTTAAAAAAAAAATTCTATTAGGAATCTAGATTGTCGGGTGTCCGATAGGGCACTTCCCGGCGCCGCAGGCGCTTCAAATTTGGCAGGATCTTGCCTTGGGGCGACAGAACACGGGGGCCGGTTGGCCGAAAAGTCTACGATGATGGGTCAAAACTGACCTCGACTGACCGGTACCTTATATGAGCTATAAATCGAAAAAAAATGTCCACGGAGGAACCTCTTCATAACTCTTGAGGTCGTAGACCGACCCTCGGGCGAATTAATTAAGCATTCAAATTCTCAATGTTTTCGAAAGCCTAAGCAAAGCAGGGCAGCATGCCTAGTGTGTTAATGAAAGGCAGGTTAGATAACTCTGTTCCGTGTTACCGTTTCAGGACTACAACTACAATGAAGACATGGCGGACCCTATCTCCGGCACCAACCAACAAAGTCCTCTCAAAGAAAACGGAACAATTGGAAGTATCGATGGCAGTAATGGGGCTCTGGACTCCACCATTTTCTCACACATGCCGTTTAGGAAAAAGAAGAGCCCGCTGCGGATGGGGAAAAAGGTGTATGAATTCTACAATGCTCCAATCACGAAATTCTGGGCGCATGCGGTTAGTATTGTCTTTACATTCTATTCTTGTTTGTCGGTAATTAATGAAATGTGTTCGTAGTTTAAATTACACCCGTGGAGTGGCATTCAAAATGTTCAAGTTTTATCATTATCCTTATGAAAATAAAACAAACTTAATTTTTTATAATAGGCGTTTTAATGCAATAAAACAGAAATTTAGAATTAAAAATTACTTAGTCGCGCCGGAATTTTTTTTTTTTTCTGTTCATTTTATGACCTCTTTTTTTTATAGTTTGAGTGCATTTAAAAAGCTTGTTATTATAAAGTTTTTGTGGGGTTTTTTTGCTTGTATTTTCTACTTTTTAGCTTTAAAATTGTCGATTTCAAGCTTTAAATTTTTACTAATTGTACCCACTCCGTCCTGACAAAAAGTTTGTTTTACACCCCATCATTGTGATAAAAGAGTTGTATCTGCCCCTAACATCCTCATCGACTCTACAATTTGTGATCAGCACACGTTAACACCAGCTCACCTGACAGATGGAGTCTTAATCCTCTCTTTGATTATTAAAATTATTTTTTGATATCTGATTACATGTCTAATTATATCTTTTTTAAATAATTATTCGCACTTAAAATTGAAACCCAATTATGCGCTACGTTTGGGGAAAAAATCCTTCCATTAGAGATGGGTCAAAATTATGTTACATCAGTTGACTACAAACCTGCAAACAAACTCACAGACATTATGTTTTAAGAAAACCCTTGTAAAAAAATGACGCCGTTGTTAATTAACATCTTTGCTGAATATTTCTGGGGGGAAAATTTAAGCTTTTTACACTTTACAAATTTAATATTAAAATTTTTAAAATATGGAAATCTTCTTATTTCTTTTTACGTAGAGGCAACGTTTTTTGTTTACCTAAAAAAAATCGTCATGGGAATGATGGCCATATGCCTATTATAACGCGTACATCCAGAGATCAATACTTCAGAGTTTAATCGCCGATTAAAGCAATACTTCAGAACACTTTGTCCATATCTCTTGTATTTTCTAGCTTTACACCCTAGGTAAATATGTTTATTGATAATGGTTAAAATTGATTTATGGTTTCACTCACCACGCTATCGATTGTTTTGAAGGATGGTAAAGAAATACACGAAGAAAGACATTTTTCTCGTTAAATAATGTTTTTTGTCCGTGTTCGATACTAAATCACAAGTAAAATTCTATTCTGACCTTTTTAAAAAAGATCTCATTAATTACCTCAGTTATTACCATCATCATAGAGTCAACACCGAAACTGTAAAATAAACAAGTAATACTCAGATGATACAGAACCAAATGTTTATTATGCCAGATGTTATGATAACACAGGATGAAAAGTTTCAAAATGATTGAGTAGAGAGCGCTAGTGAGGTTAGAGCTAAACCTCCGTCAACGTGTGGTACAACACGCCATTGCTGAGCTGGAAGTCTCGAGTTCGGTTCTCGGGTTTGTTACACCCAGCTCTTTTGAGTAACTGACCCAAGTCAAATGTCTCGGCACAGTGCTGACCACATAGACCCTCCCTATGCCGACGTCTCTAATAAACAAATAAGCTCTACTTCATCTGCTCCATGGACAGTCGGTTACTTTGTACAATTATCGGCTAGTATCTGACTTACTTAACCTTTATAGCTGTATGAATTATATTGCTTGATTTCAATATTTACATCCAAACGTTTGCTCGTGTCAATTTAACATTATGCCATTTTAATTAACCGTAATTTAGGCCCTCGGACAATACAGTGTATACACCCCCTTTCTCTCCCCCTCCCCCCCCCCCCCCCCAACTTCTCACCGAACTACAACACTGGGATAGTTGATATAAATGATGCATCTAATTGTTTTTATTAGCACTTGCAACAACATACCGCAAAAACAATTGAACAAGAGAAACTTCTGAATAATACACCAGGCTTTTAAAATATGTGGTTGTTTGTCTTTAGGAACAGTATTGTTTAAATATTTAAACTTTTCATAACTATTGTGTATAAATATTTTTTAACTGTAACCTGATTGCATGACTTTGGATTAAAGAAGCTTATGTTAGTTTAACGCGGTGAGCTAAAAGTAATTGGTCGGTGGTAATAATGTTTGTTAGATTTAAAGCCCCTGCTGTCATCCCGATCCCAAGCGAGTTCCCTTTACACCCGTACACTAAGACGGGCCTACGGACCACTACTAATTGAAGCAACCACATTAGGTTTCACATAGACATCTTTATCAGTGTAGTACGTTACTTTTCTAGAGCAGGGAAAATACGTGTGTGATTATACATTGCTTATATATATATATATATATATATATATATATATATATATATATATATATATATATATATATATATATATATATATATATATATATATATATATATATATATATATATATATACGTTAATCTCCGAAAGTGAGCTTAATAAATCAGTTGTTGATTATAGACAATAGAATTTTAATTTAAGGGGCCTCTACATGTAAAAAATGCTAATTAAACTTGGAAAAAAATATTTTTAGGAAATTGATGTTTTAATAAATTTCATATTCCTAGAATCGAAAACAGTTTCAAGTATACTTGTACGATACATTTTTCTATTTTAATTATAATTTTAAAGACACCACCCTCTGCTTAAAAAATCAACTTTTTAATCAAATACCTGAAATTTTGAGTTGATTTTTATAAAGCAACTATAAAGAAAAATATAGTATATTATATATCATTTTTTTCGTCTGTTTGAGCCGTAAACGATACTCTACATTCGAATACAGTTATTTTACTTGCAAATGTGATATTTCAATAAAAGATTTCGCAAATCAAGCGATTTCATTGGTCCGATTTGTATTCTCAAGCCGTACCTTAGTAATGACCTTTCTGCGCATGCGCAGTGATCGAGTTCGACGGATTTTTGTCAACAAACAAACATGGCTACGTGATTGTCTTCACATCAATTTTTGCAATAACAAACCATTTGTTTTCAACATGGCGTGTAAATAATGCAGTTATTGCTCGAAATAACAGATACCATGACAGGAGTACATTTTTCAGCGAAAGAAATTTGAAGGTAATTTTTTTTAATAACTAGACGCTAAATCTAGATCTAGTGAAGTCGCCATGCCACACAGCGATACTTCACTGACTGACGCGCTGACATTAGTTTCTAAATCTACTAATATGTTGTCTAGTAGTACAGCTTAATTCCTTTATGAGAATTAATTTAGTTAACTATTTACCAATGTTAAACACGCTTGTCAATTACTATTTTTAAATAAATGAAACTGTAGAACCCAGTCATAACGACCCACGAATCTAGTAGACCTAGATCTAGAATTTTCTAGATCTAGTCTAGAATAGTCTAGATCTAGATTCTAGTTGATAGTAGTTTTAGAAATTAACATCTGTGTTTGCTGAATATTGACTAAAATATAAATATTGGTTAAATTTTAGTATAAGCAGTTTTCTAAATTTATGGTTAGATTTATTCCTTGTGTTTTGATCTATGGTCAATATAAGCCCTATTGACTATTCATTATGATTAGTTTTTCAAAATACAATTTTGTTGACTATGACATTATTAGGTTGTTACAATAGGATGAGTTACTGCTAATATTAGCCATTCTAGTTATGTATATTATTAACATTTTAAATTTAAATAAAAGTTGTTCTTTTATTTTTATTTTACAGTCCAACAATTCCAACAATGAATGCCAAAAAAGCTGGTTGTGTGTGAACCCAAATCAGTTTTGACTGCAAACAAGAATCAAGAAATATAACTGTCCCTTACATTATTTGCTTGCTGACATCTACATATCCAGAAGATATGCCACAATTAGGACTGTGCAAGCATTGTGGATAAAACTTTGGGCTTTCCGCAAGGAAATTTGATGTCGTGAAATGTAAATTTGACCTCATGGTTTACAAGAAGCTCACTTTAGATACACCTACATCATGATGTCAATATTTGAGTCATGTTATCTATAAAGACAGTGGTGTTAGTTTCTCAAAATTCAGATGTTTACTTGGTGAATGGATTTGAAAAAAAAACAATGAATCTCTCATCATTTTACATACTGTTGCCCAAAGTTTTGCTGCGATACTACTAAGTAAGTACACTAAAGCTGCTTATGTTTTTATTAGCAAGATAAATGCTGTTTGTACTAGAACTTAAGAGCAATACAGCAGCAAAGTGCCCATCTACTATAAATAACTTATGATGTCAAGTTATTGAGCTCACCCTCTTCAAGCAGAATTGTGAATGTCGTCATAAGCTAAAGTTGTATGTGAATATTATTAGTACATTATTTGTCAAATTTGTATTAAACTATAGTTCAAATATGTACTATATCAAGCTTATGTAAGTCTGGGAAAAAGACAATAGCAGCTACGCATGTCAATAGTTGATCAGAAAGGTTTAACTTTTAGTGCAAGTAAACTGCGGAATTGTGCAAACTAAACCACTATAAGATTATAAGTGGTAAAACTTCAGAAGAATGTGCAAACTATAGTTGGCAATGGTTTATTTTTCAACTGCTTATGTTGAACTTTGAATACTAAAAGTTTCTTCCTGATATTGCTGATAGATTTTTTTTTATGGCACTTTAAATGTTTAAAAGTTAATTTTCTCAAAACTTGTTTTTTCAAGATTTTTGCTTATTGTAACTCTAATGTTTTAGCTGTTTGCAGAGATAATGTCTTGAAACTTGGTGTACTTTTTCATTATTCATTTTATGGTGTAACTATATATGTGAGAATGATGTGCATTGTGTACATTTTTATTTTTAAGAAATTTCATAACTTGTATGCCTTGTTTTGAATGATACATTTTTTATAAAAATTGAAAAAAATGTTTCTTTTACATTTTAATGAAAACAAACTGCTACTGGACACTCTAGAATGGTTCTAGTTAAATAAACAGAAATAAAACCATCATTATTTGTTCACATTATTGAAACATTAGATTTGTAAAAAAGGTGTTTTTTTCAAGATGGCCGCCGTTACCA